CAATATGGCTTTTAATGGATGCACAGTCATTTAAAACAAAGTTGACATTATTGAAATAACACTTTTTACAGGAGGAGCTGCATCCCAAACGACCTTGAAAAGACACAGCAATTACTACCACACATGCAAGATAAATTATCACCAAAGCCAAGGGCTTGATTTCCTGAGATAGAACAGCCAGTCTGGAGCATTTAGAACTGGAATGAGCTCTAAGATAAGAGGTTGGAGTCAATAAGATAAATGTGTAAAATAAAATGCTCCATTTGTCGGGGCAAAAGCTGTATTTTGATTGTGAGACATTAAACTTTGCATTTCAGGAAAATACAGAACAAAACCGCCTGAAAATTTTGAAGCCAGTTTCAAACATCTTTGGAATTCCAGCCTGAGGAGAACCCGCTGCATCACAAACTCATAGTTAATTATTCAAAACAGCCCTGGTGGTGTTTGCTGAGCCTGTGAGATCCTCAGGGTGGCACAATGTAGTAGCTGTGCTTATACAGCTTCTACCATCTTAAGGACCTGGTAAAAATAGAAGCCCAAATAACTAAAGCCATTCCACACACACATACATACGTGCAGTTTCTGCAGATATTATTGCCAAAAAATTATTCTCCCATAAAGGCACGAGGATTGGTTCTTGCTGCCCCCAGAATGAGAATTTTACTCTAATCACACAAAAAAGAACAACTTCATAAACACAGGAAGGAAGAGAGAAATGATGCTTCCTGTGAGAAGGAAGTCCACTTAGAGCAAGAATAAATTGATGCAGTCAGGAGGAAAAAAAGCTTGTATATGCAAATAGAGGTTTATTACCCATCTTTGTGCTCCTAAGAAACATAATTTAGTGACCTCTGAGAGATGGGTCAAGTAGGCTTATGGAATAAGAAACAAAGGCATCCTTTTGGCAACTGCCACGTTCCACAGCAGTAATTATCTTTCCCTCTCCCCATGAGCAGCAGGAAATGAAGAGGGATGCCATTACACTATGACAATCACTGTAATTTTAATTTCTAAATATTGCTGGGAAAAGCTTCCTCCAGGAAAAAAAAAAAAAAAAAAAGTCTGTTCAGATTTTTTAAGTGGATTTTACTTTAAAACTCATTGCCCAGCTCAAACAGAACCTGTGCTTCTCCCACTCCCTTGGGGGGGGGAACCACCCACAAAGTCTACATGGTGAGAAAGACCACTTTGCTTCTCCTTAGCTGAGAAGATTTCATGGAATCACAGAATGGTTTGGGTTGGAAGGGACCTGAGAGATCATTTAGTTCCAACCCCTTGCCATGGGCAGGGACACCTCCCACTGGACCAGGTTGCTCAGAGGACTAAGACAGGTGGCTCAGTGTGGTCAGTGCGGATCCAGGAAGGATGGAGGTGTCCCAAAGACATCTCACAGATGCCTTAAGGATGAAGAAAACCCGGCTATCCCTGCCAGGAACTCCCAGAGATGAATCCTTGGGAGCCTTCAGCTTCCCAGCCTTGTCTGCTCCCGGGTTTAATTCCTGGAACTTGAATTTATTCAACCATGGGGACGTAACAGGTTCTTTCTATCGGAACCAGATGATGTTGGATGCACAATAATTATAGAGAATTAAAATAAGAATTAAAAAGAAGGATTCTTTTCATCTCCTGTGCTCAGAGAGATTATTGACCATTGTGGGTTTTCCTCAGGCTATCATTTATTATTTTAATATTATGGATAATCTACCCTATGCTATTAGAACATTATCATATTATATTGTTGCACTGTGGGATGGATTTCACCCAAGAAATGGATTTCACCCATGTCTGCTCAGCTGTCCAGCCTCTCCTAGCCCTGACCACACCATCCCAGGCTCCAGGGGACACCTGAAATATTCCCTCTCCTACACTGGGCTCTGCCTGGAAGGAGGAACCATTGGATTTCACCATGGTGTGTCCAGGAGGAGAAGTGGGATTTGCAGCCCATCTGCTCCACACACAGTCAGGAAGCAAAGGTGGCCATATCACCAAACACTGTCTCTCTTTGCTGCACCAGCAGCATCCCTAAATTGAAAGCTCCTTTCCAGGATTCCCCTGGGCACTCTCTTAATGAGCCTCCTGAGGTCTCATTTTGGCCACTGGGTGAATATTTAAAATTACTTTCACAGGTTCAAGGGAAAGGACGTTTTTAATTTTTTAATAGTTGCCAAAAGCCACGTTCAACAATGATCATTTAGTGCAGAAAAAGTTGTGTCTTTCAATATACGCACCCCCAGAACCACATCGATTTGTCTACAAACAAACACATTCCTACAAGCACATATTTGATTAAGAATTTATATAACTTCGGGCTTCAAGGAATTTTGGATCAATGCTTTTATTTTGCTTTTATAAACAAATAAACTCAATTAAAGAGTACTTACAGCAAACCACAACTGGCAGGAAACTAATTCTCCCAAAGCCTCACTTGGCAATTTTTACCTGTTATGTGGGTCTAGGGAATCAATTACTCCCTAAACAGAAATTATGAGGAATTGTGTTACCAAACATCTTATCTTTCCCACTCACCAGTGGAAGAGGGGAACTACAGGGACGTGCATCTAGAAAAACAAGCATTCTTCAGGCCTCTTACAACTTGCTGTAATAAATTAAAGCATAAATAAAACAGAACAAAGCCCTGCAGGCGAACAGCGTTTGAATCAAGGCTGGGTCTGCACCGAGTCACTCTGTGGTTTCACAAGACCCATAAATCAGGTGTCCTGAAGATCTGTAGAGCTTTGCATTACTGCTCTAATACATGCACACAGTGGTCAGGCTCCAGGCCCTCTGGGAACTATAATTTTGCATGTCCTGACCCAAGCTGCCGCTGGGAAAATAATAAGCGAAAACCAATTGCTGTGTTGCCTTCAGCAGGTTTTGTACTTTTAATTTCTCCCCTTTCTGTGCTTGTCCCGCACCAGATTGTCACTGCTACAGTCCCCTAGTGGTTGTATTCTTACCTGTTTTAATGCAAAGGGGTTTGTCTGTCCTGTTCTTCCTCCAGCCTCCCTTTTCTTCCAACCACATCATTACTTGCCTCAAGATTTGAGTATTTTTGTCTGACATCCTATTTTCTCCCTCTATTAAAACTCCATTCACTTCCAGAGAAGGTTGTTTTTGGAGTTATCAACCACCAAATACACCAAAAAATGTTGATTTCATCCAGGTTTGCTCAAGGTGCACTAATTAGCATTTTCCATCCTATTTACACTTGTTAATGGCCAGCAGTGTCCCAAATCCTATGGGAAAGCCATGGCCATGAAACCACATGGTAGTCCAGGCAAGATCAGAGCCGTTGTCTCCTCTGCAATTCACTCCACCAACAACAGTCTAACAAAAAGGGTTAAAAGCCCAAGAAGTGATGCAATAAAGCATGAAACCAAATCACAGCTAATTTATCTCTAAACTCAACCATCAAACCCAGTAAATCTTTGCTGTAAGTTGGATTGGACCACAGTTGAAGAACATGATGTTTGTGGCCATGTTCATCACAGATCAGCAGCTGGTGGGCAAAACCAAGCTGTATAATTTTTATAAACTCACACTGAATAGTGACATCTGTGCACAATCACTCACTCCAAGGGTGGTGCTGGGAACACCCAACCAGGAGAAGGGAATTCATCAGTCCTTTGGGGCCTTAGTTTCATTTCACTGACTCCTAAAACCAACTAAACAAGCTCCAAGGCAGAATTGTAATTGCTTGAAAACTAGTTAATATTAAAGTTCTGGTCCAAGGCAGAGTGGTAATTGCCTGAAATCTAATTAATATTAAAGTTTTAGTCCATCGACTTGCCCTAATGTTGAGATCTTTGGTGGCATCATTCCACCCTTCTTTACAGAGATGCCTCAATGTTACAAAGTACAACTCTTTCTTATATAGATTAAGGAGGTTATAGAAAACCAGGTGGCACAGCAAGGTAAAAAATGAAAATTCATCAGGAAAGCAGAAAAATCTGCTGACTGTGCTTTAAAAGGGTATCAAGAATATCAGAAATGATCACTGAAATTAGGCAGAGAGTTCTGCTTTTTAGTGGCATGACATCAGTTACAAATACCCACAAATTTTTAACATGCAGGATTTGAGACACCAACCTAATGCCTGTTGGATTCTTACTGCAGCCAACTGGTCTCCTGACATAAAATCTCTCTTGGAAATCTGTGGTGATTTCCTACACTCCCCCCCACCCCTTTCGTATATACAGTATTTTGCATTATTGTTTGTGAAAGGGAATACACACATGCATGTATTTACATATATACTACACATACATATCTTCATATATTTATGTTTATACATCTATATTTATATCTTTATATTATTAAAATTTGCATATGTCCACGGGCACACATGCATTTAATTATATTTTATATATATACATACACTTGCAAGTACATATGAAAATAAACATATGCACCATATATGGAGTAATCACAGCATGGATGGTTATAAAAATCAGAACATATGTGTATATATTCTGATTCCATACAGTATTTATTCATTGAAAAAGTTCCTAATATGGGTAAGAAGAGAATAAAAGGCTCTATTTGCATGTGTATATAATAGTTAACCACACTGTAAAGTAGACAACAAAGCAGAATACATGATCTCTCTCAAAACTGGGGACAGGTCTGATAAACATTCCTCTCAATCCCTGCTATGAAATTGTCCTTGGAGTGTGATTTCCAAGTGAAAGAGGATACAGGACTGCTTTTTGATAAATTTCAGAGCAGAAAAAACTCCCATCAAGAATGGAAAAAAACAGCCCAAAGAGAACAGAAAAGCAGAGAATAATTAAACAGGTCTTATATAAGTCTTTTTTTCCCTGAGTCCTGTATCCTCCACCTCCAAAGACGTCACGCATCCCTGTTGGAAAAACACCTCACTGGCTTCAGTGTAGGCAGTGAAGGAGCACCAAGCTCTTCAGCATCATTAGTGGTGGTAGAAAATAGCCACTTTTTTTAGCACTGTACTTACTGTCAAACACAAAGACACATGAACTTACCTGCTTGGTGCTTCTCTGCCCAGTGGGAAGCAAAGCTTTGGATTTCTCTGCTATTTTCTGTTAAAATGAAAAGGAAAAATAAAATTTAAAAAAAAAAAAAAAAAAGAGGGAAAATGGTTGAGAAAACAGTCCAAATATTTAGGGAAGGAGACATATAAAGCTATTTCTTCTGCTTTTTAAAGAAAAGGACATAGAGAAAGCTCCTACAATTTGGAAAAAGAAAGGGAGTATAACAGCACTGAAAAGCTCGGTCTTACAGGCATTAAAAGTCTTCAAAGCTTCCAGAATGACAAGGTTATCAAAACTGAATCAGCCATTTAAGGAATGACAGCCAGGACGTGGATAAGTAGCAATTTCCCACTCAGATTGGTTTCCTGACGCAACAGGGCATTCACAAACTGCACTGGTTAATTTTGGCACCTCTGAATCGATGACAGTTTTTAAAATAAAAGAAATCAAACCTGGATGTGCAGTTCTGATGGACTGTACTCATGAGCATTAGGGAAAAAAGGGCATTAAAATTGTGTGTGTGTGTGTACACGGGGGTGGAGCTCTTTGCCCAAATCATTCCAACTTCTCATCTAACAGAAAAAATAATTTCATTTAAAGACCCCACACTTAGTTTCTTGAAGAGGGCACAGAAATAACTTAAAATGTGAGACAACACTAGAGATAATGCAATGTTATTACACAATACAAGTGCAATTTTATGTAAATCTACTTGTTTATTTGTTTATTTTTAAGTCATAGGCAGCAAGTGTTGGGAAATCCATCAGCACAGAGGTTGTTTAATAGGGATCCATTATTAAGTGCATATTGACACATTATTAAATGCATGTTGCAAGCCAAATTTCATTACACCTGTACAAATGCAACATATCCTTCCCATGTGCTGCAGCCACAGGTCAAACTCACTAAAGTTGAAATAAGAAAGCAGCCAGAGTTTGTCCAGGTCGTGTTCTTTTGATTAATCCAGATACATCTGCAAACTTGCTGATGCCAGGGAGAGGAGCAGTTTGAGGATGCTAAATTTAAGTCATTTACTACAGTGTTTAAAAGCAAAGCAAATCTGCTCATCAGTGGAGCCTCCCCAGGGTAAAGAGGGCGAGCAAGAAGCAAATGAAGGAGCTGGAGTTCAGGCTTTGTTTGTTTTATTAAACAGCTTGATCTTGGTGACAGATCCAAACCGCAAGACGTGCTCAGACACTTCCTGGCAAAGCTATATAGCACAGCAGAGCCAGAAGGTGGGGGTGATATTTAAATTATCAAAGCTGCCTGCACGGTTTCTGGGAGCAGAAAAGGTGGAAAGGGCTTTGTGCAATCGCTTCACACCAAAATAACATCAAGGCTAATCCAGATGAAGCACTGAGGGTCCTACCAGACACACAGATGGCAAAAACACACTTTTCCTTCTTTTCAGCTGCTGCTGAATTGTTCTGCAGTCCCATGTGTGTCAATACTCCAAAGCAATGGTACATCCCCCTGTGCTGGGCACTGCTGAGGCACCTTCAGTCCTGGGTTCAGTTTTGGGCCCCTCATGACAAGAAGGACATTGAGGGGCTTGTCCAGAGAAGGGCAATGGAGCTGGGGAAGGGGCTGGAGCACAAGTCTGGTGAGGAGCAGCTGAGGGAGCCTGGAGACAAGGACCCTCAGGGGGGACCTTTTTGCTCTCTACAACTCCCTGAAAGGAGCTTGTGGTGAGGTGGGAATTGGTCTCTTTCCCCACGTAACAAAATGAGAGGAAATGCTCTCCAGTTGTGCCAGGGGAGGTTTAGATTGGATATCAGGACACATTTTGTAAGTGAAAACGTTTTAAAGCTTTGGAACAGGCTGCCCAGGGAAGTGGTTGAGACACCATCCCTGGAGGTATTCAATAAATGTGAGGATACGGCCCTTAAGGTCATGGTTTAGGTGAGGCTGACTTGATGGTTGGACTTGATAATCTTAAAAGTCTTTTCTGTAATTTCTTGACTGGCAAAGTAAGAAAAGAGAGTGGAAACCACATGTAACCAGCCCTGTGGAGATGCTCCAGGCTCCCAGGAGTCATGCTCAGTCACACCTAAGCCATTCCCTGACTCACAGATGGAAGAGTGGAAGCAAGAAGGACCCTCACCTTCTGCACAGCTCCGTATCTCTGGATGGCATCCGACAGCTGGTTCTTCAGCCTGTCCAGCTGGAGCCTCTCTTGCTGTTTTGGGAGAAGAGAAGGCTGGTTAGCAGGTCTGTGGAGATAAATCAAGTGGTAAAGTGTCTCTGAAACCCTGGAAAAATTGTCCTGAGGGGATACATCAAATAAACAAGGTGGGCTCAGATAGAATCCTAAAAAATTTCACTGGGGATGCCAGGATGTAACAAGACTTTATTTTAAGGAAGTGAGCATGTGATTCTTTGGTCTTTCAGCCCAAAGCACTTAAAAATAATGCCACTTTGATATTCAGAATTTAGCACTGGAGAAAATAACCCAAGAGATCTTGCTATAAAAATCCTTTATTTGGATGACCATCACCTCATTTTGATGGCAATGGGAGACTTACTGGAATTGAGAGGTCCATCAGCCACAATGTTCCTTCTGCCTGGCCTAGCACCTGATTGTCAGAAACCAACTTGTCCTCACGTTTTCCAAAGAGACCAGATGTCACCACCTTTCTGTTTGGAGCTTGCTCCAGCAAGATTCCAATCTGTGTTTTAAACAGAAGTGTTCTTGGAAGGAAGACCCCAGTCAGCCTGATGTCACTACCCAACGTGAGTTAAAATCTCTGCTCTCACATGGGATGGCCAAACCCAAACGGTGTCAGGCAATGGAAATTCTCCTGGAACTATTTTACCCCTTGGATTTCAGATTTTACATGTGCAGGAGCTCACGTATCCAGGTCTTACAGAAGGGAATGAACTGCAAGGAAGTGGGAAGTCACCTTAAAATACAAGTAGCAAACAAAGCCCAACCTACGCTAAAGCTACTGAGCAGAAATGTTCAGTTTACAGCCATTTCAGAATTCAGAATTGTTCAGTTTACAGCCATTTCAGCTCTTCCAGAAAACTGCCTCAGAATACAAAAGCACATTTTATAAAGGATGGGATAAACATCTCTGATTCTTAATGGCAGCATTTCCACACACAGAAGAATATCCCAGTCTTACAGTTCTTCATCTAAAGATTTAAAACCATATTTAGAGAAGGGCAAGTATCATTATTGCCATTCTACAGATAAGGATCCATAAACCTTATGTTTGTTACACATGCAAAATAAGATAAAACTGCCACCCTGGAGAGCTGATCTCATGCTCCAGCATCCATCCTACCAAAAAAAATGGAATTCCTGATAGGCCTGTCTATTTACATCCTTGGAGATTATTTTGGAATGAAGCCCTAAAATAGCCATGTGCTATTTTACATCAATCTCCTGCCTTGTATCCCACTGATCCACTTACAGCAGCATCTTTGCTCCCAAAATACTGTCAATTTGCTCAGTTGGGCATCCTGACTCCAGTAGCTCCAGCAGCACTTGGAGCTTCATGGGAAGGCAGAGAAACTCCCACAGTGCATGTTGTTGGTAATGCACAACTGGTAGAAAATAAGGAAGAAAGGGGAAAAAATACTTTTTTTTTTGTCTGTGTGTGCATGCAAAGCAATCCACAGAAAGATGGATTGGTAAGGACTAATAAAGCTCTAAATTAATAGAAGGCTTTTCCTGCTGTGAGTAATTTTATGGGAGGAAAGTTTGCAGTCCTACCCAGATTCCCAAGAGGGACTTACTGACCAGCAGCCAATATCCACCAGAACTATTTATTCTATATAAGGGACGAGGTCTGCAGGCTTTATATCAAAATTTGTAGGTTTAATTACTTAAACTGCACAGTGTTAGAAAAGAAGAGCTAAATAAAAAAATAAAATCTGTTAAATTAATTGACCAGGGAGCAAAAAAATTATTATGCAACGCAATAGAGAACAGCAAGTTTATTTCTTATATTACTAAAATTGTTTGTGTATCTATTTCCTTCAGCTCTTAAATATTTTCCCTTTAATTTAGTAATTTTTCTCCCCATGACAGTAAAAACTATTCTCCTGAGAGTCCCCAGTGGACATTGCATGGGCTTCAAGGGCAAATAATGACATTCTTGTGTGGCACTTTAATTGGGTTTAATGTGACCTTGCCTGATTCCCCTTTTGACTCAATTTATGTCACAAAACGGAGCCAGGAGATCAGCACAAAAAGAGCACCAAAAAAAGCCCAGATGCCCATATTTCTGAGACAGCATCTTCTGTTTCATCAAGCTCAGATGGAATTATACAAGAAAAGGAAAAAAAAATAGTCCTTGTAGTCCATCACTAACCAAAGTAACATGTTAAAAACCATCCTGGTGTTAAGGTTGATGCCTGCACAAGTTTGATGTCAACATATGTAAACATCAAAAAGTGATCCCAGGTTTCCCTCTTCATCCTCTGGAGAGGACCATCACCCCTTCATTTTTTATTCAGGTGGGCTGGACTGCACAGGGTCCTCCACATGTTACAAAGGTAGCCTTTGGGGTGATTCAACCTTTAAATCCTTATCTCACCTGCCTGTTGGTAAGTGCCATAAATCCAGACTGCAAAACCCACTTGGATAGAGATGAGTGGTGTGTTTAGGGCAGCATTATTGCCTGGTGGAAGGGCAGTGAGTCCAGAGCTGAAGTAACACAGGACTTTGGAAAAATGGCAGGGAGTGAGGATAAAACATCAGTTCAGGAATATTCCTGACTTAGAGACCATATGGATGCTGGAAGCAAGGAGGTAACAGAAAACTGCCAGGCAGAATCAAGCAGAATTGTCCTTATAGTCATTTCAGCTGCTGAATCATCTTTTATGTGGGTCAAACTCCTCTGCTCTCACACCAGTTGGAGTTTGGTCCCACAGTAGGTTTCTGTTCTTCCCCACGGATCAAACCACAGGTCAAATTCAGCAGGAATATCTGGAGTGTAAAGGGTTGTGTAGGAAGGTCAGAAACCTCCTCTTTGTCTAATCTTTGCACTGGAGACCAGAAGATGGGAATCATTCCCACCCTGTGACAACACTGTTCGTAGGAGTTGAACCTCCTGATGACATCCCAGTCTGTCCATATAACAGAGGGGTTTTGTGGGGCAAACTGCAACTCTTAAGTCCTGCTCTGATCTGGCCACACTCTGTTTTTGTCTATCCCCAAAGCTGCCTTTTTACCAGCACACAGCCCTGAGTGAATATCACATCCAGATGTATTCCGTGGCTTGGGCCTTTCCAGACACCTCAACACAATTCCAAACTCACCAGTCCTCAGTGCACAGCTGAGTCTTTAGCCAGTGCCAAATTTATGTGGAGCCACATGATTTCTGTGGTACTTTCACCCAAACTGAGTGAGACTCTGAGACAAATGTGAACTGGCCAAGGCTTTGTTGCTGTGTTCTCAGTTTCTAATTCCACATGATCCAGAACTGGTTTCTGCAGCTGTTTTCCTCTGGGTCATTTATAAGTGAAAACTACATTTACCATGTAACAGGAAAGGAAGTTATAACAAGCCATTGAGCTTAACAGAGCTTAACAGCCTTAAAGTACCCACTGCCACTTCTTTTTTTTGTGTGTGTGTGTTTTGGTTTTTTTTTTTTTTTTTTTTAATTATTCCTCCTTCCATAAGACCTACCACCCTCCCCCAACATCACCTAGATTGGCACATACCCTGGATGAGCCTCTGACAATCTCAGACAGCTGCTTGATGGCTTTGGTGCTGGTGGTGATGGTTTTATTAGTCTCCTGCTGGGTCGCATGCCTGCAGAAGGGAAGAGATGATGGGAATTGCAATTGAAATTAATTGCATAATGAGACACTTAGAGACATTTATCAACCTGCAGAGCAATTGAGACAACACAACACACAGCACATGGAGGCACAGGAGGGCTACAAGAGTCCTGGGTCTTGACAATGGAAGACAGAAGGAAATACTGGGAAGGAGCTGCCCAAAATATTCTTCCTGTGGTCAGCACAGAGACAGTGGCTGTGGACCTGCAGAGTCAGTGGGGGTGCTAAAGTGAAAATAGGGGGTGGACAGGTAAGGAGGCCACCACAGATGGTTGGTATCGCAACTAAAACTGCCAAAAGAAGGGGTTTATAGCAAAAAGAGGCGGGACAGGGGAGTTACCTGATGGCTGGCCCAGGACAATGTTGTACTCGGAGGAGAACTTTGAGTTTGAGCAGAACAAATTTCCTTGCAGTGATCATCTATATGATAATGGCAGAGTATTCCAGGAAAGCACTTTACCTTACTGCTTTTCAGCACTGTAACAGGTAGGCAGGGAGCCAAACCCTTTCATGGTTTTCCCTCTCCTTTACACCCCAAATTCTGGCACCATTTTTTTCTTGTAAGCGCTTGTTGCTGGTGCCTTGCTCTTTGGGACCAAAAAAATAGGGGCAAGAGACAAAAATGCTCCCCAAAGGTACTTATTTGCTCAAGCTTTGTTAACATCAACAGGGCATTTTCAGCCTTTGAGCTTCCTCAGAAACACTTCACATCTTTTTAGTTACAAAGGGGTGGTTTTTCATGAGGTTTCTTTCATAAACTCAGGAAATACTTGAAAAAAAAAAATGGAGAAAATGGTGGGTTTTTCTCCTTTAGAGGAAATAGAGGAGCCACAGTTGTATTGAAAATACTCATTTGTCAGTAGTTTGGTTTGGGTTTTATTTCAGGTTTGGTGGGATTTGGAGTGAATGAAATTTCTGACTTAAAAAATGTCAAGATGACTATTTATGGCCCCTCTGTCCTCAAGACCCAGGGCCTGTCCTGACTCTTCAGCTCCTTCCTGCTTCTCTGTCAGTACTGATGGACACCAGCTCTTTCAAGACTTATGTCAACTCTTTCAGCATCCCCTTTGAGGAGCAAGGCCAGTCCCTAAAGTCTTTACCAAACACAACCCTGACTAAAATTAAATTGAGACCTCTCTTAAGGTCTCAGTACAGAAGTTTGGCATATTTTGTTTTACCACTTCAGTGCTTTTCTGCAAACACCTCAGTTGGGAAAGCTGTCTGGGATATCAGGATCATAAGATGGCCTGGGTTGGAAAGGACCTTAAAGATCATCTTGTTCTGATCGCCCACCATGGGCAGAGACACCTTCCACTAGACCAGGTTACTCTGAGCCCCATCCAGCCTTGAACACTTCCAGGCATGGAGCATCCACAGCTTCTCTGGGCAATCTGGTCCAAGGCACCACCACCCTCACAGTGAATAAAACTGGACTTCTTTGACACCATACAGGAGAGAGAAATAATCCCATATCAAGACAAAACTGGATCCAATGACTAGTTATTACCTCTGTGTAGTCAAATCAAGATACCATTTCTGTGCTCATTCATCAAAATGCATTTCATTTATTTATGATCCCAGGACTCACTGCAGCAGCTGAGCAACTACATCACTGCTAATTTGAGATGGAAGAGGTCATATCTAGCATAGACAGGTATTCCACACTGTCACTGCAAGAGAGGGAGCTGGGAATTGAATCCTGTCACATTGCTTACATCAAGGAGTGCACAGCCTGATCCCCAACCTTTTCATCAAGTAAATCTTGCCACCAAGTGCATGAATTCTATAATCAGCAGATGATTCAAAAGTGAGATTTCCATACCTAATTCCTCTAAATGGAAGGCAAGATTCGGGGCTGACATCCAGTCATTTTGATTTGACCTCCTTAAATTATCTTCCCAAGAAGAACTCAGGGATTTATGCACCAGTAATTCCCCATCCCCAAAGTGAAATGGCTTGTTAGGCTCGTGCATCCAATCCTTCCCAATCTCTGAAGTTAAATAAACTCTTATTAATTTGCAATTTTATGTTAGATCTTTTATGTAATAAGTCCACACCGTGCACAAACTTTACTCAGCTGCAAAATAACTGGTACAAAAAAATAAAGGTTCTGCCTTCCACCTCTCAATTCAAAGGCATTTTAACCAACAAGCTGGTGCTCGATTTTGGCACTTCCCACTATGTTGTCAGCACAATTAACTTCTTAATCTTCAGCCTCAGAGATAAGCTCAGAAATGAGACAATGATTATATTCAATTTACATTAAGGGCTATTAAAATCTTCATTAAAAAAACAAAACAAAACAAAACAAAACAAACCTTGAAACTCCACTCCCTGCAGCATTTTATTTTCATTTGTAATGGTAACAAGATATGTTTTATTGTTATTATTAGCAGTATTATTAGTATTATTATCTGTCTTTATATTCCTCTCCCCATGGAAGTGTGGAAGTTAATTAAAGGGTTGTCTTTGATGAATCAAATCTGCTTCTCAAAAGAGTTCTCCACACAACAGGAAGTTAATACTCAGCCTGTGGAGTCACCAAGTACCTAAAATATAAACGTTGCCAAAGATTCACCTGTCTGAAAACAAGCACTCCAAGAGGAAAAAACTGAAAGGGTGTCACTCAGGAGGAGACACATCTCTCGCTGAGCATTTCTGCATGCACAGAGATTGCAAAGACAAAGCACTAAATAATACAGGAGAAGCCAGGATGCTGCCCAAGAGGTGCCCGTGGTGGCTGTTTTCTGTACCAGAGGAGCACAGTCCACTGAATCCGTAATCACTGCATCCATAATCACCGCATCCATAATCCCCAGCTGCTCCCAGTTTGTTCTCTGAACGACCACATCTCTAATTTATTTATCCAGTTTGAAGGGGAGCACTGCAAAGGGGCAGATCTGTCCCTGCTTCCCTTCCCCTCAGGGATAGAGGGAGGGAGCTGAGCTGCTGTTTGAGCTTCTTTGAGGCGCTTGATGAATGGCCAAGTCAGCAAAAAAAAAAAAAAATCAGACCCCAAATGCAACAGCAAAGACCGACAAGTGAAAGACTTCTCTCTGCCTCACTGTGCCTGCTGATCCTTACAATAATCCCAAAGAGCTTTGCTTTCTAGTTCCAGCAGGAAATGGCATTTCCACTCATAATACAAGATACAGCTTATTTTACTTTCATCTGATCCCGAAAGAAGAGCAATAATATTTTTTTTGGGTACAGATCAAAGATTCCTTTAATTTACTGCTTTAAACACCATTAGATTCAGCAGCCCCTCTGGCACAGGGCATAGCACTGGAGTAGTTTTTTTTGCATTTAAGAGCCAAGTGGTCAAGTAGGTTTGACTGGAGTTAAGCCAGGTGGCTCAGCATGATTCAGCTCGTGTCCTTCACAGCTGCTGTGATGTTCACTGCAGTTTTGTTATCCAAAAAAAGGTAAAAATTGTGCTATGTGGAGCAGAGTACTGAGCTGCAAGATCTGTGGTTTAAGCAGATGGAGGTTGAGTAGCTGCATTTACATTTATTCCACTGTTGTTGCAGGCAGAAATACGTAAGAGTGCATCACACACGGATAAGGAAATCGTTCACACCACAAGACATCTCTTTCCTGTCCTACAGTGATGGATTTTGTGAAGGTCTGGTGTCTGTGGGAAATGATATCTGTGAGAACTGATGTTTGTGGGAACTGATATCTATGGAAACTGATAGACTCCAGCAAACTACAAATACATGTAAATAAAACTCCATGCATTGGCCATAGGGACAGCAATGGGTACTTAGATCCCTAAGGATCCTATTCCCCTTTCTCCACCTAATCAAGGTGCTTAAATCTAGAGCAAAGCCAGTGGAGGTGATTTGTGGTCTGTGGAGGGAGGTATCTCCACAGATGATGCAGAGAAGTCCACACTTCAGCAGTAACCCACCATTTCTGGATCTCTGCTACACAGCCAGGATGATCCTAGAGCAGAATCAGAGAATCACAGAATATCCTGAGTTGGAAAGGACCCACAAGGATCATCCAAGTCCAACTCCTGGCCCTGCACAGGACAACCCCAAGAATCACACCATGTGCTCAGGAGCATTGTCCAAAAGCTTCTTGAGCTCTGTCAGGCTTGGGGTTGTGATCTCTACCCTGAGGAGCCTGTTCCAGTGCCCAACCACCCTCTGGGTGAAGAATCTCTTCCTAATATCCAACCTAAAACACCCTGAAACATCTTCATGCCATTCCTTTGAGTCCTGTCACTGGTCACCAGAGAGAAGAGATCAGTGCCTGCCCCTCCTCTTCCCCTCATGAGGAAGCTGCAGACAGCTGTGAGGTCTCACCTCAGAGCTAAGGGTGTTTCCAGAAATGGATGATCCAGGCCTAAATTGTTTCACTAAGTTTCATCAAGCCCCAAAGTACATTTACTATGTTGTTACAGTCACCAAAAGAAGAAAGGTTAAATCTACTTGTTCAGCCTCCAAAATGACTCTCACAGCCTTCCCCCCCCCCCCCCCCGCTTTCTGCTTTAAGACCTAATTTTGCATGTTGAGGAATAGTTTACAACAGGGCAAAGTAAGAGCTCTAATTCTGATCTGTCAGCAAACCCCTTTGCATAGGTGTAAATCATCCAGCAGAGTAAAAGTCAGGAGAAAAACAGGCTGCTACTTTCAGGTTTCAAGCCCCACAATATTCTAAAATAAAAGCATCATGGATTTCCAATTTGCCTGTCACTTGAAAGTATTAGGAGAGGTGGTGCTATTTTTCTTACAGGAGCTCAGGGGATGGTCTGTGGTTGTGTGGGAAAAGAAGGGGAGGTATTTCAAATGCACCTGACAGGGGTGAAATACCATCTCTGGAGAGAACGTGGTTATAAGTTTGCAGTTGTGTTCTTCGGTGGTTCTGCATTAAAACAGAAGATTTTCTTGGTCAGACAGCACCTCTCACAAATTTCATCCCAGAAATGCAAACCTTAGCAAAACTTCTCATGGCTTTTTCAAT